TTTCCGCAGCTGCGGCAATTTGGCCAACGTTGGAGGCCTTCACTCTAAGTGTGAATCTAGATGAATCTTTTTACACAAAATGTATTTTTCAAACCTTAAATGCAATACGTATCGATCGTTTTCATTACTAATTACTTACCAATTGCAGAGGATTTTAACTCAAATAATCTGCTTCTCCAAGCATACATTTTTCAAAAAAACGTAATATGCTACTAAGTGAGTAAAAACAAATTTGTAATACATGTTTTCTTGGAAGTTAATTTAAGTATATGAGTTCATTGAAAAACAATAACAAAAATCAACTGCATACAGTGTTTCGCTTGTGCAATGTACATCGGTTGGCAGTCTGAATACCAAGTAGTTCAGAAGCCGAAATGTTGACAAGACTGTAATATATTGGGATATGCTGTACGATAATAACGATTCCCTACGTATATTTATGAGCTTTTCGGGACGAAAACGCATCTGCGAACTCCGGCTAGACCTGCATGTTATGCATCACCTCCCCTAGTTCATAGAAATTCAGACGAAATTCTGAAATGCTTTCTCACTTCAAAAAAGTATGCAGGTATTGCAGGCTTTTTACACTGATTTTCGTGAGACTTAAGGTGGTAATAATTCAGTCGCGTTAGGATGCCGGCTGCGGAAAGAGTTTATTTCCGGCCAATTGGAAACAAGCGTCCTCCGTTAAAAGTGGCTATCTATTAAGTATCTATTTTTGCCATTGACGGTGAATACCCCAAACATCGAATACACTTTATAGAAAACAAGCAGAAGCATATTGTTTTTGATACATTTTTAATATCAAATTATGCCTTCTATGAAGTGTAGAATCGAATATAGTTGATAATTTTTAAATAAACTTTATAAATTGTCAAATGAATATGAACGCTTCAGGCCGTCGCACTTGAACTCGTGTTCACAAAGTACATGCGATGCATTACGAATTAACGTTTCACAGTCTTAAAAACGGTTATAAACAAAATCATTTATAAAATCGAATGATACCATTTCCAATAATTTAAGTTGAAGAAGGCGTAATTTTCTACCAAACCAGTACAAGAAATAATATTTTTGTATATATAAGTGCTATGAAAATCAATAAATAAAAAGTGCAAAATATTTAGCCAACGACATTTTATAGAGCATGGACTGAGCCCAAACCCACTGTGAACCATCCTACTCCCAACTCTAAGTTTTCCACTCCGAACCTGAAACTAATTCCTACGTTAACTAATCTACGTGCTCTGCAGACACCGAGTACATAGTATTGGGCTTTACAAGACATGCAACCCAAAACTCACCACAAATTCTATAGGGGGAAGTTATTCATTATTAGGACGATTATATGCGAAAATGTCACTGAGCTACGTTATTTAGTTGACTACAGCTAACTTGTAACACTTTTCACTCGTGGCGCAAACCGGCAACTGCAAGGATCTACTGTGGTATGCCAAAGAAGGTGCTCAAACAGAAAGATGCTAAGGGCAAATCAAATCTTAAAAACGTAAAAAGAGTCGTTTCGGAAATACACAGGTTCTTCCAAAAAGGAGAAGAAAGCACTTATAAGGGCTGTAAGCTTGAGGAGTTTAGGACGACTAGAAGGCAACTTAACTGGGCTCGCGGTTTGGTCCTGGGAAGGCAGGCGCTATCCCGATGATAAGCAGGCCGGACGATGAGGCGACGGTCACCGAGGAAGTGGCAGGCCTCAAGAACGCCATCCTTCATTGCCTTTTCGTCAGTGAAGGTGACG